ATTATGTTATTATGATTATGATGATATAGTATGATTACAACATTATTTACTGATGATGACCAACGTTACTAGCTTACGAGGTCGAAAATTCTAATTGTGTTATTAATTTATTTTCTTTAACATATCGTTAACTGCACTTATTTATTTCTTTATTTACTTACTATCAAGTTATCTATTATAAAAAAAGAAAAATATAATAACGCATGAAATTTATCAAATGATGAATTGCACATAAAAAAATATTTTATTAATAATTAATACATATATAGACAAATATATATAAAACCGTGCGATATATTAATTAGTGCTAATTACAGAAATAAATAGTATTATTCATGAATAAATACTTTGAAACATCGAGTTTAAATTAATTATGTAACAGTATGGAAACGACGAATATCAAATGTTAAACAAATAACTATCCATGCGTGAACACCCGCAGATATATAATAAGGTATATACCAAGAGTACAAGCGTACCGTTAATAGAAAGAATTTCAAAATTAAAAAAATGATAACATATATAATCAATACTAATGTATGAGTAAATCGTATTAAAACATAATCCAATGGGATTTTTGAACCTATAGGACTGCATAATAGTAAACAAACTATGATAAATATAATGATTACGGTATCAGTAGTTGAAGCTAAGAAAATTGGTAGACCAAAATTAAATAATCTAGTAAACAAAATAATAAAGGTAAATGATCGATACATAGAAATTGAAACTTGATCTTGTATTAATATTGCCAAAAAAATAACAAATTGTAAAATAGTTGCAAAACCACAATACAGAAGGAAATATATAATTAGTGCAGCTTGAGAGCCACTGATGGGGAAGATTAAGTAGCCGATCGAACGTGTTTCCATTATTTTTTTGTAGAGGTAAAGCAGCTGGAGTATTGATAGGTGTCATGCGATCTATGAAATCATCTAATCTTGCTTGAAAACATTCACTCGTATGCTGTAAAAATGATTCTGAATGTACAAGATGTTTACATATACGACATTCAATTAAAGCTGGGTTGCAAGATGATTGATGTTGGTCAATAGCATCTATTAATCTATATTTTCCACATATGTGACATTGTTTTGTTGGATATTGACATTCATTCGTTTCATGTTGTTCTAATGAATTATGTGATAAAATTTCTGTACAACCAAATGAACTATTTCGACAACGAATAGATAAACGACCCAAAAGAGAATGAATATATGGTGGAACACGTTTTTCTTCATATGGAGTACGGCGAAAAGGACATGAAGTCGAATTAATTCTCTTCCATTTTTGAATATATTTATCACAGAATAAATGTTGGCAAGATCCGCATGATTTTGGTTTCCACAGAAGACTTTGACAAATCGTACAAAAAAATTCATTAGTCACCTGATATTCATCATTTACAATACGTTCTGAATCAATACCATCTTCAACAAAATAAAATTTACATGTTCCTGCCATTGTTTTTTGTTACAATGTATATAGCAATAACAAGTAACTTTCGTTTTGAGTTACGCAATATTAAAATGCTCGTATATAAAAGAACTGAAATTATCAGTAGTGTTTGACCAATGATTCATTTCTGACGAAAAGACAATATGTTGTCCCAAGTCAGCTCGTGCGCTATTTGTACGCGCACGTCACGCTGGTACGCGTTTGTGCGCGTGATATCACGCGAACGGTGCGTGCACTTCTTTGTACCAACCGTCACATTTAAGTTCGCGTTACGTAATATTTCCTCCAGTATAGAGTTCGTAGAAAGATCACAATGGCGGAACAAAGATATATATATAACGTTTAACGAATTTTTTAAACATTAATTTGTAAGTATTTCAGAAATGATTTTAATTCAAAAAAAATTTTCTTTTATATTTTAAATTTATTTTTATTATAAATATTTTAGATGACCGTTTATTATTATTTTTAGGGCAAAAAAAATTGAATTTTTTTCCTGATTTCTTTATATTTTTTTGTAATTTTTTTTAATATTTTTTTGTAGTTTTTTGTGATTATTTTGTGTTTAGTTTTTACATGTGTTGTTTATAGTGACTTTTCTTGTAACTGTATGATATTTTTTTGTGTTTTATAAGTTTTTTTCTTTTTACTGATTTTTATGGATTTTTTTATTGTAATTTCGAAGTTGAGAATTTTTTTTAAAGAAATAAATAATATTAGACTACGAGTACATTAAAAATAAATATTTTATTATTAATTAATAATTCACTTAAAGCTAAGCGATGATGAAAGAAACAAAGGCGTACGTCACTAGTGGTGCGCGCACTGCACGTACGTGTGACAGTAAGTGCGCGTACCGAGCGTCTCGCACGTCACGCGCACGCACGGTGTGTACGTCACACGTACCAAGTATGTACGTACGCGTACAGATGGCGCACGAGCTGACTTGGGTTGGAGAAGATATATTCCTTTTTGGAATATTCCTAGTGAATACAAGAGAACGAAAGAAATGTATATGTGAAATATATACTAACACCATCTATAGAAGGCAAAAGAAAGAACGAAAACAATCTATGTCAATATATCGCAGCATAAATCTTTCATCCGTGTTCGTCGAAGTTTTGACTTAACTACATGAAATATTAATGAAATAAATTTTCTAATTTACCAGTAAATTGAAGTAAATGCCCTTTCTATTCTGTCCAGCGCAGCGAACTGTTGCAATACTGTTTTTTTGTGTAAGTGTGAGATAGTGGAATAATCCATATCTTCGATCAGAGTATGATAATGAAATTATTCATATGTTTTAACAGTGTGTCATGGCGTTTTCTCCTTTCTGTTATGATTTATCCAACGCACACATATATATATATATATATTTTGTCATATATCTTTTCACCTTCCTTTCCCTCTTGCATTGAAAAAAAAGAATGAGGCCAAAAGGACACAAATTAGCGAACATATTTGAGAAATACTGAGACTTGATACATATAATTTCGATTTCATATTGTTTACGTATAATAAATTTCACTACTCTATCAAATGTTTACATTTTACAACTAATTTTGACATCGTAAAATACTAATTATTATCAATTTAATAAAGTGAAATTTATCAATGAAGACTAGGTCATTGGTATATTAAAAACTGCATTTCTAAAAATTGATACTGCTTTTATTAAATAAATTCACTTTTTAAATAAATATAAATGTACTGCCATCTATAACATTAATATTTTAAAATAGTATATCAAATACATCGAAAATCTTGTGCTTATCCTTATGAAAAAAATAATCCAGAGACCTCTTTGAAACCTATTATTTCTTATTGGTGTGTCCTTCACTTATTCAATTTTCCATATTTCGTAATCGATGAATAACTATGATTTATGTCGGAAAAAACCAACTTAATTTTGGTTCTGCACTATATAAAGCATTACATAATAGTAAAATGCATGACACATACTTCTGTTCTTTTTCGATGATGCAATATAACTAAGCTATTTTTTTTTCGTTTTTGCATCATAGTTAATTATATTATTTTTGATCGTTTAATTCTACTATTCACAATATGGAACAATCGAAGCCACAACGACGAACTAATATTTTCGATTATTATCGTACGAATAAGCAAATAAAATTAACGGAAGTATTGGAAAGGTCAGTTAAAAGTGAATATTTCATTATAATTTTTTCCCTATAACTAATGTTTATTTTGTTTCAGGTCGCCACAAAAGGCTATTACTCGTTTTGAAGATCTTTCAAATGAACTTTTCTATGATGTTTTCAATTATCTGGATGTTTATGATGTATACAAAGCTTTTTATAATCTCAATATACGTTTACAAAGTCTTCTAATTGATTCAACTCTTCCTTTAAATATCAATATTTCATCGATGTCTAAACCAAGTTTTCAAAATTATCATAGACATATGATTATGCCAAATAAACATCGAATAATGTCATTATCTATATCCAATCCTTTTGTTGTCGATCTGATTTTTTCTCCAGTACGAATTGCATCATCTTTTACTCGATTAGAAAAACTTATTTTCAATAATATTAAATCAAAATATCTTGTAAATATTCTTCATCATTGCGCATCTTTACCTAATCTCACATCATTAATCATCATTCCAATCGATCATGTCTCAAATCGAAATGATCTTTGTGCTACAATCTTTCGTTTACCTAAATTAAAATATTGTGAAATGTCTTTGATAGACAGTAATCAATCAAATTCATTGACTATTTCATCTGATATAGCAAGTCCTGTCGAGCATCTTGTTATCAATAATACACTTTATTTAAACGAACTGAATGCTTTGTTAACATATGTTCCACAACTTCGTCGTTTAACATGCAGATCTCTCTCTGGAAACGATAGTCAATATTTAAAAACATTTTCAGATACTTCAAACAATTTAACACATGTTTATTTCGATACAATAAATATTGATTTCAATCAACTGGAACAGATAAGTAGAAGTTTGTTTAAACAACTTCAAGTATTATATATTTCAACAGATAATGATAGAGAATATTTAAACGCAAATCGATGGGAACATTTAATTTTATCATATATGCCATATTTACGTATTTTTGACTTTCAGTATATGGGTTTTGTTGATAATGATATTAATCAGATGACTTATGATTCTATAATTAATCAATTTAGTTCTTTATTTTGGTATGGTAGAAAATGGTTTTTTAAATATCAATTTGACTTAAAAGAATATCGAAATCTATTAGTTTTCAGTTCATCAAATCCGTACAGGTAATAAACAATTTTATAGAATTAAGTAGTAGCATTTAGACAACGTGTGTAATCAAAACTTAATTTACTATAAATGATTGCTAGATAAGAACTTGGTTTAATTCATACAGTATATATTTATTATTTATAATTTTTAGGAGAAAACAACATACTTCATATAAACTAGCGAAACATAATGTTCGTAAACGTTCCGGAAAGAAGAATCTGAACTCAGTAAATTATCTTGAAATCCAAGGTGAAGATGCAATGGCGAGTTGTGTTAATTATTTTCCAAATACTACAAAACTCACGCTTTCAAAGAATTTCAATGGAAACAGTATATGTCTTGAACTTGCGCTCAAACGTATTGTTTATTTAACTCAATTAACAACATTAGTTATTGAATGTTATGATTTTAATTTTGAACAATTGATAAAATTATTACATTCTACGCCTAATCTTCATACTCTAGCATATAATTGTGTTTCAACTTATGAAATAAATGTGAAATTAATTCAACAAAATGAGTTATTTCGATTAATATCTTCGAAAAATATGATTAAGAATGTAACGATTACAACGAGCAACTCATTAGAAAATATCAAATTACTTATTGCTCTATGTCCTCAAATGCAATATTTTACCATTAATCGATATGGGCTACCTCTTGAATCGATGACAGAACTTATATTATCAAAAAGTAAAGCTCACATTCAACATCTATGTTTATTAGGTATAAAAAATACAACAAGACCAATGGTTGCAATATTGAAGACTTTAATTGAATCAGAAGGATTGTTAGACAACTATGTAATTAAATATATTGATTCTGACATCTATATTTGGTGGTAAAAATTTATTTATTCTTACGAAATATTTTTATTCTCAAAAAATAGTAATTGTTAAATAAATGAAGTTATTCCGGGATCATCAATAAAATCATTCACAGTTCTTACAAGGTAGAACTAAGAGAAATATAATTCTAAAAATATTGAATTTTTTGTATTCATAAAGTTCTTTATCTAGAAAGTTGAAGTAACTAAAATGGAATTAATTGTGAATCGAAACACACGTGAATAACTCGATGTTTTCAACGTTTTGATGTATTTCCTATTTAACGAAAACAAGAACATTATTATTTCTTGTTCAAATAGATTAAAGTTTATTTATGTGTTGTTGGTGCTATCTTCAATGATTCAATTGCACCAATCTGATTCCGTTGTCGTCGATAAAATACTTTTTTAACTTTGCCTCGAAGTTCTGATAATGATCCACAGCATACAAACGGGAATAGAAATAGAACATAACTACGAAAATAAACAGCATAGACCATCGGTATTGCTACAATATCTTCAGATAATCCATATTGAGATGCAAAAATAAGAATCGTCCATGGAGAATTGAATGTTAAATAAAGAATTGATATAGATAACAACTGAATTGTCATTTTTCGATGTTTTCGCCATTGAAGTAATTGATTTCTCTTTCGTTTTTGCCATAAAACACGTATAATAAGACCAACACTAAATATTACAATGATTATAGTTGGAATAACTTGATGAATAAGAAGATCTAATGTTCCTAATATTGTTCTCATAAATACACAAGGAATAAAGACACCACCAGTTATATAAGGTTCGAATGAATCTTCACAAAATGGTGCAAAAGTAATTAAAGAAAAATATATCAAACAATAGATAAGGATTATAATGATAGGTAAATAATGAACATAGAAACGTTGTTTTTTTGTTGTTATCCATTGATTATGAAAAATAAGTATGTGTCTTTCAATGGTTGCCCAAGCAAATAATACTATTTGAGTGACATACAATCCATAATCCAAAAAGAATGAAAAAAGATAGAAAATGGGTGATTCAATCCAAGGAATACCATTGCGTAAATAATAAAGATCCCATGAAATAGCAGTTAGTTCGTATGTAATACCCAGAAAAAGAAGAACAATGATAATATGATTATTTAGAGCACGGCGAAGTGCTCGATCAGAAAGAAGATAATATAGAACAAATAAAGAACACAATATCGATAGTATATCGAAAATCATATATGTAACATATGTAATTGACGAAGACAGTCCTGATGATGAAGATGAAGAAGTAAAACTCTCTTCCATAGATATATTACTGTTATTCGACATGTATTGAACGAATAAAAATATTAAATAATTCAACAGTATTCTTTAAAAAAAAGAAAAAGCATATAGATTGAGATTTAATAGAATATGACTATACTATAGGAAAAAATATTTTTTTAATAAGTAGTAAAATTTGCCCACTCACTCTATCAAAAAAAAATAGTGAGACTTTTTCAATGAAACAATTCAATTATAACTAATACAAACAACAAATTCTATTTTTATTTCGCGCTAATTAAATTCATAAAACTTTATAAAATAAAAAAAAAGAATTATATGATGCGTACATAATAATTTTTATATTCATTAAATTTTTCTAAATTTATAATATCATTCAAGTGTAATATCAATAAATACTTAGTTTTGCACTTGGGGAGGAGTTCTTTTTAGAATCATTTCATATCAATTTCTGTTATTCAATTAAAATATGAAGACAAACATGTCGCAAGTTATGTCAATAAGTATAATTGATGTGTTCCCATCAATCAATATTGATTAGAAATCAAATTATTAGTAGATTTAATATTTTTGAGAAACTTTCAAAGAGTATATATCAAACAAATACTTTGCTAGTAAAGAAAACAATATTACAATCAAGAGAATATTGGCTCGTAAATGTATTGACAGATCATTACTTCTTGATGGAAGAAAAGAAATGTCAAGTAAATTAATTATGTAATACTTAATTGAGCGCGCTATCACTCGTTTTCTAAATTCAATTATAAATTTCAAATTATCTCATTAACATTAATTAATAAGTCTACAAATATTTTATATTATTAATTATTTTAAACAAAGAGACAAGATACGGTAATTGAAGTGTATTTACAATAACGTTTGTCATTTCGATTTGTAAAAGCAATTTCTATGCGCAATATTAACTTGATTATACAAACAAAATAGTATCAACGTAATGTCATATCAATAATGATTGACATGAGTTTGTTTGTCTATATTTCAATATACGATCGACGTTCTCTCCATACAAACAAGTTTCTGTTGATAGATTTTCTTTTTTTATCTATACTATTCCTTTGTTTATATCATACATTATTACTATTACGTACTAGAAGAAAAAAAAGTAGTGTTCTTCAAGGACGAAAATGAAGGATGGCCTTCTTTATACTGTATTTATCTAGATGTACAACAAATTACTAATAAGTATTTCTTTCTCTCTTACTAAAAATAGAGATATATATTACTAATGAAGATATTGCATACATATATATATATATCTTTAAACTGTTTTAGAGCTCATTTGTATCGACAGATATACTTCTGTATTGATAACTAATACGAAATTTACTTAGAGTAAGTAGAAGAAAATTTGATTATCATGTATTTGTATTTCATAATTTAGAATGTCATATAAAAATCAAGAAAATCCTCATTGTCCTCGTTGTGGTCATGCAGCTTTTCATGCTGAATCAATTCCAGCTGCTGGAAAAGTATGGCATAAAATATGTTTTCGATGTGGTAAATAAATCAAAGTTTATCTATTGATTATAATTAAATACAATTTATTTGAATTAGGTCTTTGTAAGAAATCATTAGAAATAACAACAATGGCAGAACATGATGGTGATTTATATTGTAAACAGTGTTATACTCGTAAATATGGTATTCGTGGTGTTGGTTTTGGCGTTGGTGCTGGTGCACTTGGAATGGATACAGGTGAACGATACGGAAATACACAATCACTTTCGTATGTTTTGTTTTTCATTATAAATAATAAAAACTTATTATCAATTTTTAGAAATAAACCAAATTATCCTCCAGTTCCTGGTATTACACCACCTGAGTAAACAATTTTGAATTTTACTAATGATTGAACATTTTATTCATTTATTTCTCGCAATTTCTTTTTTTTATCGAAAATATTTATTATATTTGTGTTTAACTTATAGAATGGAAATAATCCAGAAATACATTTTTATTAGGACAATAAAAAAATCAGTAGCATTCATATAATCTGTGTAGTTTTTATTTTAAATCTATGGAACAGATCTAATTAAATAGGATATTTTCCCGATGTCATGAAGTACAAAACATCTAGAATACCACGGAATTGAAAAATAGTATATCAATATTCTTGACAGCTGATGCTTTTTTCTTGAAAGATATTTATGCTGTATGAAGAGAGAAAAGAAAATACTCATTAATCTATTATGTATATCATTTCTACTGTCTCGCTAAGAAACAATATAATGTCAATAGAACATACCCAACTTTTATTTGTTCTTATATGCGTCACTAGAGATGATTATCTATCACGAAACTACAACAGACAAAATCAATTAATTTTTTTGTCGAAATTACTTTTAGACATTAACCGACTCATTGATTATTAGAATCTAATATTCATATTGCTAAATGTTACATAGAATCAATCGATACAAGTTATGATTTTCATAAACGAATTTGATATTATTGTACGTCTCAGTTTTCTCTAACTATAAGCAAATAAATACTTCAGCGACTTCTACTGATTTAAGCTTTTAATTATAATAAAAAAATAGAATAAAACGTTTGATTGTTATGAGATGGATGATTACGGTCAAGAAGAACTCTCTTTAATATTAGATTCATTTTTATTTTTAAGAATTTTAGAAAATAGGATGTATTCGTCGTTTGATATTTAGTTGATATTTTTTAATAGATTTGATAAATTCTTGTCTATAAATTTTTGATGGTAAAACAAAGACCATAAAAGTAATTGTACTGGGAATAAATGAAATAAAATATCCAGTAAGAAATAACCAAGAATCTTGACCCGATTTCATACAACCTGATGCGAATGAAATAATTAAACGTGGTAAAGCAAGTATGACTAAAACAAATGGTGCAATAAGTAAATGATTGTATCGACGTAGTTGTTTACGTAATTGCATTAGAAAGTGTTTATTATTTTGACTTCTTGTACGATATTGAGCAGTTTTTTTAATGATAATTATTGCCGAAATAAAATTAATGAGAAATGGAATAAAAAAATGAAAACTATTAATCAATAAATCATATATGTGTAAACTAGATGAATAGGTAATAATACACCAAATTCTTTTCTCATCATCATAATCAATATCATCTAATAGATGTCGATGAATAGGATCATGAATTGTTGTCATAGTAAGAATAATAAAGAGAAAAAGAATGATATATTTAGCTGTTTGTTTACTTTTTTGTTTATCGAAATGCGGGCCTTTTATTGTAGTAATTGCTCGTTCTAAAGATACACATGCAGTTAACCATTGATCCATATTAAGATTAATTCGAAGTAAAAAATCAAATGACATACATTGAAAATATAGAAACGATCGACTTGTCATATATGTTATCTGTGCAATGATCAGTACCCAAAATTTAAAAGCGAATATAATTACTGTACATAGAGTAGTCATTGACGAAGTCAGAAGGTATAGACCAGAGCCAGTTTTACGTAATTCTTTATTCTTAAATGTAATGAACATAAAAAATCCATTGATAAAGCCTACAATAATTACGATCATTGTCAATGCTGCACTAACTTGCACAATATGAGGTTGATGTTTCATGTTAATATATGGTTGAATATGATAACCGAGAATACCATCAAGTGCTAAACCAAATAAATTTGAACTAAATTGACATCGTTTTCCATAAAAACATTTCGGACAAATACATATCGATGTTTGTGGACAAATATATTTATCTTGTAAACATTGTGCACCATTTTCACAATTACTTTGACCAAAACAATTATGTTCAATTGATGCGTTAAATTCAAAACAATTAGCAACACGTTCTTTACCATAATCATTACATAAACAAAAATGGCTATCATCATAAAAACATAATAATGCTGGTGAATGTTGTTGTTGTTGACACGGTACATGATAGTATTTTATTCGACGAAGAAGATGAAGTTTAACAACTGTTTCATTGAATAGTTCATTAATGTGTTTACACCGATCTGATGGATTAATTGTTGTTGAAATGATCGCTGATGGATGATATGTCTTTTGAACAGTAATTAAATAGTAGTTATTATCAGAAAGTTCAGTAAAAGCAATATGAAATGGACGTGACCAACGAATAATAATTGATTTATGATTGATTGGAATATTTTTAAAAGTAGAACCATTTTCAGGCAGACTATTATTCATCACTTGAATGAAATGAATCAATATTGACGAAGGTAAGATCATATCTTTATGAAATGTAACGATAATTTTACTATCAGCTATCTCACATCGTTCTCCACTAAATCCTTTTGGACAAATACAAAAGAATTTCTTATCAGATATCATTTGCTCATCGGTAGCTACACATTGACCACTATTATTACATGGAGAAGTTTTATTTGATTGACATACTATATCTGAAAGTAGACAACGAGAACCCCATCGATTGAGAGGACAAATACAAATTGATCGATTGTTAGGTAATACACCAATACATAATGAATCAGATGAACACATACATGTATGTGAAATGGTACAATATTTTCCAGACCACCCATGATTACAACGACAAAATGAATTACCTTTCGAATCATCTGAATATCGCATACATTGACCATGTATACATCGATGATCTATACAGTCTTGTCTATTCTCATCTATACGTGGAATATTCAACTGTACAGAAATACGATGTACTGGTAAAAAAGGATAATTTAATGGAATCAATAAACTTCCACGATATGTAAATGAATTTTTTCTATAAATATCAATATGAATTGAATATTGTTTTGTTTGATTTTTTGGTCGTTGTGAATAAAGTAAGTAAAGATTAAATTTTCTTTGACAATGTTGTGCACTAAGATAAGTAAGTTGTTGAGAGGAATGAATAATTCGTTCATTACTATCATCAATAAGTAAAATAATAATAGCAAATAATGTTTGTCTAGAATGAGAAAATGTTTGAAATTGCACAGTAAGACTAATGCGTTGATTTTGATATTGGCATAGATGACCATAGAAACTAGGTGGACAAAGACATGTTGTAACAGTTAAATTTTTATCATTATTCAACCAAACACGTAAAGGTAGACCACGATGACAACGTTGATTGTATTGAGAAATGGATGAATCGAAAGAAGAACGTATCTTTTTTTGTTGAATAGATAATTGTTGACTTGATGGTTTTATTTTGTCAATTGAAAAATATGTCACTAACGGTTTTTGTAAAACTTCAGAGTATTTACAAAGAAACTTTTGAGCATTTGTATGTCTGGATTCATAATGACCATTACAAATACTATCGTGTTCATTGCTATTTGGGATCTGAACACATAAGAAATCATTTTTATGACTACATTGTTCGTGATAATCATTACATATGCTTGAAATCGATATACAAGAGTTGGTAAAATTCTGTTTGCAATAGAAATTCGTAAATGTTGGTAGAAAATTATTTGAACGACATAATTTTGGTTCATCCGTAGCACCAACACAATCAATATGACCATCATTAGCTTGTTTGATAGGTAAACATGTAAGTTGATGTGTATCAAATGAAATACATGGGTGATGAAGAGGCGGACAGTTTAATAATGGTGATGAATCACAATCAACTTCATCAGCTCCATTAAGACAATTCCAAAATCCATCACAACGAGTATAAGTATTATTACATTGCCAATATTCACATTCTGTTTCATCGGTTTCATTTTTTCCATCAATCATAATAGGTTCTAATTCAGTAAAACCATCACAAATAATTGGAAATGATATATATTTTCTAATAGAGTAATCATCTATATCTTCATCAGGACAAAGACCATAGTCGTCAATACCACAATCACATTTACCATCTCTAACTAATTGAGAAGAAATACATTTATCCTTTGCTGTACATTTAAAAAGTGTTTCCGATGTTAATGTTGAACAAGTTTCATTAATTAAAGGACAGTTTTCATCATCGTTATAACTACAATCATTTTTACCATCACAAAGACGATGTCGTGAAATACACTTTGACGAATTCATACATCTGTACATAGTTGAACTATCATTACATGCAGAGAAATTGTTATAAATAATTGTATTACATTGATAAAGATGAGTATACAATGGTTTAACAAGTTGATCAATCAAGCTAAATCTTCCACCTTGTTGAAATGTAACAGGAAAATCTTGTGGACGACGACATGTAGAATTATTTATTATAAATACTGTTCTATTAGAATAAAATCCATTACAAAGTTGATCATTATAACAAATATATTGCGGGTATAAAGAATTAATTGAATTCACAATAATTTCTTTTTGATAAGCAAAATAGATATGACCAAAAGCAAGAGCTCCAGTAGGTATAATTAATAAATCTGGACATGTTTCATTAATTATTTGTTTGCATGCTTTATTAACACAGATATGATTACATTTTGGATCAAATGAATTTGGGATTCCATAATGGCACTTAAATGCTAACCAACATATATCAGATAATAAATTTGGAGTATCTAAAAATAACATATCTTTTAAAAGATTGTTACGTTTTGGTACACATGAACTTGTGAATCTTATATTAAATAAATAGAAACGTAATGGACATATAATATCTTCATTAGTGAATATTGGTTCAGTACTAGGCCATCGATATGGCGTTGTTGTATCTTGATTTTCATCTGAACGATCAAGACATTCATAATTATTTGGATTATCATGATGGAATATTCTAGATATACATTGACCATTATGACATCGATATTCATTTTCTTGACATTCATTCATTTCTAATTGCCAACAATTTTTTTCATCGATTCCATCATTTAAACAATCAACAGTTCCATCACATATTTCGCTCCAATCAAGACATGCTGATTTAGAACCACGATTACATTCTAAATGAATATAACATGTTAAATTTATAGGATCATATTCATGTTGATAGAAGTCCGAAATCATTTCATTCAACGATAAATTATAAGATTGATAAATATCTAATGAGTATTGACATTGTGGACCAAATCTTGGTAATGTACAATTATAAAAGAATTGAAATTCTCTTGTAGATAAACGTTCATTTAAATATAATTGATACTGTTCAATCACATCTATTGGTGCTGACCAAAGATACAATTGTTGGCTAGTAATATTTTGTTGATAAAGTTCAGCAAAAGTAAATTTTTGATCAATAGTATTTTCTTGAATATTCCATTTTGATGGCAATTCATTTAGACAATAAGAAACAACTTGATAAGGATCAGTTTCTTTTTTAAACGATGAAATAACATGAAGGCAATCATGTGGAAAAACAATATCGTTTTTATTATTATTTACCCAATCTGTATGATACAGATTAATATTCGATTGAGTGACTATCGAACGTAATAGAATAAAATAAAATAAAATTTTAAGTATTACCATTAGATAATAATTCAATGCTTCTCATAAATACAGCATATACAAATGAACAGAATTTAATTATTCAAATTATATATATTTTTTTTCTCTCTCTGACATCTACCTACGTCAAAAAATATTTTTTTCTAGAAATAGCATAGTAAATATATTGTCATGTATTCTAACATCCTGAGTAAGCACCTTTTATATTTATTCATAACTTACATTTAATATATTTTAAAACTCTTATTGGCGAAGACTATGCTTACTGTATTTATAAATAATTTTTTGTTAGAAATATTTGAACAAATGTCATTAATTTAATTTCTTTTTTTTTTGCTTTTACATCGACGAGAAATTACAACATTTGCTGTTAATTATTGACAGAAAAAAAAAGAATAATAGTATATCAAGATTTAATGAATTGTGATTTGTTTCTGATAAATTATAGAAATTATTCTTATAAACACTTAAATTAAATATTAATCAATGATGGGTAAATAAGGGAAAATCTTATGCATTTTTTATTTTAATTAGTGTAATTCATAGTAACAGAGATATTATCCAAAGAAATCATAAACAGATGAAATATAGTGGCAGCAGGCGACGACATTCAAATTCTCCTCTGTAGTCAATCATCAATTTATTATATTTAATTCATTTTTAAAGGATAAAGTTCATGACATTAATACAATGCATAGCTTGATTAAGGATGTGGGTATATGAGAACTATAATATGGTATTCACATGCTTGCACATACATATCACATGATATTAATATAGAATTAAATTTAGTCTGTACAAAAACTAAAGAGCATAAAAGTTGTGCGATGTTCCAATTATGAGAGTCTATTTTATAATAAATTTTATTTGAAGATGGAATGTTAGTTTTATAGTCATTATATTATTAAATAATAGAAGACTATTGGATCACGTGATATGCTCCATGAGTATTTTTTAATATTACGACGAGAATTATAATAAAACTTTGTTTGATAATATTTTAATTTATTTGATTAATATAAGTTTTCAAATATTAGTGGCAAAACCTCTTTAATATACCGGGCTTAATAAGATCAAATAGTGCATCTCGAAATATAATTCCACCAGTTAATGTATAAATATAAAATGGCATTCCGCTAGCTGTAAATGTAAAAAGTGTGAAGAAATTAAAGATCAAAGTTTGAATAGCATATTCTAATGATTGTGGAGGTGGGCTCGCAGCAAATGATGAATATACTTTTTGAATGGCATGCGGACAAGTAAGTAAGATAAGAAAACTAACTTGAACAAAAAGCATTCTCAATAAACTTCGATCTCGTTTTCTTAGTCGTTGTTGTTCAGTTATATTCGGTGAAGCATTCCTATTGTCTTGACTTGTTGTTGTTCCATCCATTACCTGTACTCGTCTTCGTATCTGACGCACGTTTTTGACTGTCAACAATCCAAAGACTATCATTAAAAATAATGGTAATAACGTTGAACCAAATGCATAGATTAAATCTGTCGTCAAACGACAGGAATATGTTGAACCATAACATCCACGTATAGTATCGGTAAGATTAGCTTGATAGCAGAAAATGATTGGAGCATTGATAACACATGTATAAATAAAAGCAATAAATATACTTCGTTGAACATTTTTCATATTGCTCATATGTCGAAAATGTACATTAACACTAGATAATAACCAACGATCAATCGTAGCTAAGACAATCATCAATAAGACGAGTGTTCTTGCACTATATAGAATAACATTTCGAATTTTACAAATCCATCCAACCGTTAAAGTTAAATCAACTGAATAACCAGACATCATTCGACTAGTAAGTCCACTAACAATAACAATACAGCCAGCAATTGATGAGAAAATAAAGAAAATAGCTGATGGAGTTGAACGAAGATTTCGTTGACCAAGAACAAGAACATTAAGACAGTTCCCGGCTAAACCAAAACCATAGATAAAAATAGGTATATAACGAAGAATAATATTCGATACATTGTTTACGGATGCACTAAGATCTGCACTTGTATTTGAAGACGACATTTTATGTATAGCTAAATAAAATGTAAGCTGTTAAAAACTGAAAAAGATGCCTGCGACAAATGATAGAATTCATCTACGTATCAGTGGGTGTGCATTTCTTTGTATTATGCCGCCAAAGAATATAGAAGAAGATTTTATAATGAGATTTTACATTTGTTCTTAACAAGAAAATATTTTAATCATCTAAAACAACCTTACAGGATGTATGGCACATTGATATAAGGAAAGAAAAAGTCAATGCAGAATTAATTAAAACTAATTTTGTTGACATTTTTTTACACGTCATTTTCAGACAACTATTTTTACTAGAACTCCAACTGTCAGATAACTTCCTCGGCAATGAGATACGCAGTATAGCACCTAGAATGAATTGAATTTATAAGCTTATAAGGATTTTTATTTTCTTCGCAGCATGGCAAGATACGTTAGAGGGTAAATTTTTAATAATGTGATTCACATCAAGTTAAATTTATTGAAAAATGAATAAATCAAGATGAAAAATTGTTATGATAATAAACATTTTTTATATTGAAAACAATTCATCATTTTTTTATTTTCTTTTTTTGTGGATATCTAAAAGAAAACAAAAATTCAAGTAATACAAAGATTAATAACAAAATACTTTTTCTATTTGATTATTATTTTGAAATTTCTCTTCATTTACTATTATTTCACCAAACCAAATATTAAGTTTATTATCAACATCTGTAAATGTAAAATTTCGTTGACATTGTATAGGTAAAATTTCATTAAGAAATATTTCTTTCCATATATTATATCGATTTTTCTCATCTTCATCTTCAGTAATATTATTACTGAAAAAATATTTTATTTGAAGACTTGATAAATTCTTCCATGGTAAAGTATATTTATCCAATTGATAACATAATTCCGGATAATGAACATACATATAAATATGTTTAATACAAGGAAATAAATGAGAAAAGATGGGTTTTAATCCACTTGGTAATCGATTATCATTAGTTTTATGCAGAGCAGGTAACTAGATATGAATATAAAAAAATATTGATTATTAATTAAAATGTAAAATCTTACTTCAATTGAATTAATTCGTGAATTTCCTTTTTTAATTTGTAACCAAGAATCTTTCTTTGGCCAAGAATTTAAAATAATTTTAAATACATTTGGCATATATTCAAGTAAATCAAGTATTTGTTTATAATCTACTATCCAACTACACAATAAATCAAGTTTGATTATTTTAATAGAATTTAAATTTAATTTCTCAATTAACCATGAAATACTATCGAATTTATTTTGAATAATAATATCTAATGTTTCAATATATTCATAACGATGAGAATCTAATAAAATATCATAATTATTATTTTTATCAATTAAACAACTATTATCAAATCTATGAATATTTGAAGTAAGATATTCGAATGAAGGTGATGTTGTATCAATAATCGATTGTGATAATTTAATTGTTGTATTAAAACAAGGTACAGTAAATAATTCTAAATTATTCGAATATTGACAATGACATAGCGCAACAAACCATTTTTTTTCTTCAAGCCAAAATTGTGTACGAAATGTATTTAATGATAAATTTTTTTTATATGAATATTTGAAATAAATATCAAATTTAATTAAATAAGAAAATGATTGAGATAAAAATATTTTCCATTGATCACCATTAAAAATAAGTTCATCCGTACTTGTATTACATTTAATTTGAAGATGTTTTAATTTTGATAATGTATCTAAACCAATTTCGACAATTAAATAATGAAATGTTAAATCTATAACAAAACAAAAAAAAAAGAAGAAATAAATTATTTATTTTGTATTTATTACTTTGACATGAAAATATAAGTTGTTTTAAATTTGGTACAAGACGAAAATTTGGTGATGATGTATTTTTATCTATTTCACATTCGATAATTAATGAAATTAATTGTGGTGTTAAATGTAAGAGATGATTTAATGATGTTCGCGATAAGTCTTTTAATTTAATTCCACGAAGACAAGTCCATTGTTGACGATAGAAATTACTGTCGATCTATGAAAAATAAAATTAACAAAATTTTAAAGATAATAGGAAGAATTATATCTATCTTTCAAGAAACTCTAACTCATTTAAACTGAGAATTTATATATATACATGCATCATACAAACAATTTGATTTCCAATATTGTAATTTATTTGACAATGAACTAATATTCAATTGTTCACAATTATTGAGTTTGATTAAACAATGACTATTGAGTTGATTAAATGCTGATATAAAACAATCATCAATATCGATTAAACTTATTTGATTAAGATATAATAAACGTAAATTTTGAAATTGTTTAAACGCTTCGATTAATTGTATATATTCAGTTTTTTTCATTTGAATACAATGAAGAGTTAAAGAATATAAATTATTAAATAAATAAAATGACGGTGAATATTTTGAAAGAAAAAGATTAAATTGGCCACCGGTTAATTCTCCATTTGATAATGTTAATGAAATAATTTTATTGAATTCTATATTTGATAATATATAATCAAATTTTTCTCTTGTAGATGAAATAAAATTTAATGAATATTTATTATAGGATTTTAAAATATTATTTATATAAAAACTTGTATTTGAAAATGATAGAAATATATCATTACCAGATAAATATTGAAATATCATAAGAATTAATTCGACAGGTAAACGATCAAAAGCAAAAAACAACATTTGAAATCGTTTGTATATTGATGATGTGTCAAATAAAAAAGTAGTGAAAAGGTCTAATAATCGAAATAATTAACAAAAGAACTAACCTTCAGATGAAGGAGAAAGAACAAGGACAACATTTATCAAACTATTAAAATAATATGAAATAAAGATAGAGAATGAGAAGGTTATCTTATCAAAGAGAAAAAGAAACGAAGTCTAATACATTATTTATTCTATTATGTACGTATTTGATTAAATCTCAATAGGCTGAGTGTATATTTCAGTCATTGTAACTAGATTATTTTTAAGTTTTATTGATGAAAACTCAATGAATTAATTACTGAAATATTTATAATTGATTTTAGTCATTAGTAGCATGCAATTACCTCGCAGAATTATGAGTGATTATTTTAGATGTGAATATGAAAATAAGTAATAGTTTAGCTAGAAATTCATTTTACAGGTATGATAACACTGATTATTTTTTTACGAAAGAACTTTTAATGGAATAAAATTAAAAAAAAACTTACTCAATCAGTTAGGCGTGCAAACGAATTGATTGATTTTATCAAGAAATTAATATATTAAAAATATTAGCTATTCTATATCACATATTTTCAAGAAAAGAGTTTGAGAACTCTAAAAGAATTCTGTTGACAGTATTTAGCCTTCTCTAGGTACAACTTCGTTTGATGGTATATATATATCTCCAAATTATTGAATAAAAGCTTCAAGAGTCTATATTTTAAAGAGGTTCTTTTTTCATCTTTTGAATATGACAGTATATAATACAAATCATAAAGACTGACTACGATCGAAGAGACCTTTTTCTCTCTTCATTCAATAAACTTCGTAATTGAGTCAGTTATCAGTGTAATATGTGCCTTGCTCATTCCACAATCTCTGACACGATACGTGATAGTTTTGTCTTGATTACATCGAATCATGTTGAATGTGTTGGGAATAAATGTCATATTTGTATGGTTTTGTAAAAGAAAAACAAGAACTAACGATGATATTTGATTTTTTTTTTGATTGATTTTTTTTATCGCATTCATTCTTATAAAACATGTCAGACTTTAAAAGTATATCTATTAGAAAAATAAAAAGTACTGCTCCAATCAAATAGTTCTTTTTTTTCATAACTCGATTTTGAATCTATTTTATATCTAATATTTTATTTTACGTCTTGTTCTTTTTATCAATCCTATACCTGAATCGATTAATATATCATGAACGCTCTATCATTACCTATTTAGTGTTATTTTGATACGCTTGAACGACTTGCAAGAAATGTATAAGTGTCTTTCATGGTTAATGGATGTTGTCTTGAAAAAAAAATACTTTGTTTTTTCGTTTTCTGAAATATTATTTGCTTTCTCCCTAACATTTGGTAATTTATTATCACGCGTATAAAATGAAACAATATGTTAAAAAATGACCTTTTCTTCGTTATCAATTACAATGCTTTATGAATATTTATAGCTTTTGTTACTCAATACGGTTTATCACAGAATCCTATGACAATACTTAAATTTTATACCTAGATTCAAGTTACAGATTATTTGTGTTTTTTCCAACTCTTCATAAGTTTTTCAAGGAATATCTCGCTGTTTTCTTTTGAACAAAATAGATTTTCAATGTAAAGTGTTTACTAAACTATTTCTCTTTAAAACTACATAGAACATAAAATATAAGATATATAAGTTCTTTTCAATTTTATACATCTTCACGCATTTTTAAATTTTGATTTAACAACTGATCTTCATTTAAATCTTGATCATCTATATTATCAATTTGTACTTTTCGTTTCGGCGTTCGTTTATCAGCACGAATACGAATACTAAATATATTTCATTGAATTCTTAAATATTTATCAATTGAAAAAAAATACATACCAACTTAAACCCATTTGTTCAGTATCTTCAATTGTTTGTGGTAATGTTTTATTTAATGTTTCAGGTAACATTAAAACAAGAAAAGCTGCTATAAGTGATAAAATACCAAATAAAACAACTGGGAGATTAATCCATACTCGAGTCTATAACATATTTATATCAAATAAATAATTTAAAATAGAATTAATACATACTAGCATATCATTACTTGTTGTTCCAACAATTGCACCAATTCCTATTGAATTAAATTTATTTATATTTTCAAATAGAAACAATTCTTACGTGCAACCATTGAACAAATACCCATTCCAGTATTTCTTATACCTGTTGGAAATAATTCATTTGCATAAATATAAATAATTGCATAACTACCAGCTGCAAAAAATTTTAATAAAACATTCATTATAAATATAAGTATTTTTTGTTCTAAATAATAACTGAATAGAATAATTTAGATGAATATAATATTTAATTTTACCTGGATTATTTTTTAATATATAATTTTGAACAGGAATTGTTAATAATGCAATTATAGAAAAACAAAGAACAGCAATAAAATATGGACGTTTTCTTCCAATACGATTAAGAACAAGATGTAAAACAATATAAGATAATATTTCAACAAATGCTGAGATTGCAAATGACACTATACATCAAATAATAATATAAAAATCGAAATATTATATTTTTATATCTTACAATAAGGATCAAAGCCCCAATTTCCAGTACTTTGAGAGATTCCATAAAAAACTAAATTTTGAACAAACCTTCACAACAACAAAAATTCAGTAAAAATAAACATTAGAAAAGTTGTTACCATTGAAAAAATAAATTAATAGATATAATACACATTATTTTTGATTGAAACAATCCTAAAATACCGATTTGTTGAGATTTTTCTTTTGAATTCTATCATAAAAATGAACGTTTTTAATTGAGTATAAATTTTCAAGGATACTATGATTATACTTACTAGTTGTTGTTCATCTATTAATTGTTGAAATGCTTCTTCATCGAATGTTCGATCATTAGTCTTGGCAATCTTTCGTAATAATAATTCAGCCTGTTTATAATGCCCTTTACTAATCATCCATCGAGCTGATTCTGGCAATACACTAAGAAAATTTAAATATAAAAATATATAAAAGAGTTTTTATTGACTTACAAATAAAAAAATGTAAATGGTATCGTAAATAATGATAAAGTAAATGTTAAACGTCTCCATTCACGAATAAAATAAGCAAAAGTCACCAGAAATAATTGTCCAAAAGCAAAAAAATATTGAACAATGATTGCTGTTAGAAATTTATTTTTTGGACCAACTAATTCCGTCGCTATATAAAATAATCATTGAGTTATTTTTGACTTTTTTCAAATATTCATATTTACCTAACACAAATCCAGTTACAGCAATACCTCTTGTTGAACAAGCCAATATAAAACGACTGATTGTATATACTAAATAACTTGGCCAAAATCCAAATTTATCTTTTTGTGGAAAAAAAGCACAAATAAATCCTGTACATGCCATTAATATTATACATATACTCATAATAGGACGACGACCATATCTTTAAAAACAAGAAACATAATTATCAATAGATCTTGTTTGTATGTTGTTTGTATCAACTGTTACTTTACTTCAACGAACTATTTCTTAGCAACAAGAAAGATACATGACATTGCAATCACTCAGTATCGCAAATTCAAATAAATGACATTCTTGACCTGACTTATTCAATATATCTTTTATTACCTTAAACATGTCTTGATCTATTACAAAAATTGATGAAAAAGATTTTAAAGTCTTCAGATCATGCAAGAGTAAAACATATAATACTGTATAATTTATACGATTATCGAACTTTCCTTTTCAATATAATAAAAGAAACATACTTATCAGCCATGATACCAAAGAAAATTGATCCAACCATATAACCAAAAAAGAATATATTTTGTACTGCTGAACGAAATACAGTTCGATCACAAACCATTGACCACTAAGAAGAAGAAAAAAATTGTACAAATTCTTTTAATTCAATAAGAGGAAAATTCTAACTTCTTCAACAAGTGTATAATCATAATATTTTTGATCAAAAATATAATTATTACATGGTTGAATTTTTTCAATTCCTGTATTTGAAATTGTTTTCATATAACATCTTTGACATTCTTTAACAGATATTTTCATATTTGCTTTACAATAAGCTTCATCTGGTTGACTTTGATTATATGATAATGAAGACTGTCGAATATTAAAATCAGCATCATTATCGTATAATTTACATCGAAATGATGGTGTAGCAGCAGCAAATGACCATGTATAAACCATAACTGAATTAATAGATTAAATTTATTTTAGTATATTTAATATACTTACTAGGTGGTAACATATATGTTAAACATATGCAAAAATATCTTAATTTTTGGTATCGACCAAAATCATTAACTGTATGTAAGAAATCGTCGAATTTCATTTATTGATTCTGTTTTTCTTCAAAAAGAAAAAAATATATCTTATAGAACTAATATAACTCTAGTTTTTCTACAATTCAATCTATTGTATTTATGTGGAACATAGATAGATTTTGTTATTCTTTACGATTTGGCAAGTGATATTTGGAACTTAATATGATATAATAGAGAAGATAGAAAAAAAGACTAATATATAAAACATTACTCAGTAGTTGACTGTATGCGTGAAGAGAGAGAGAAGAAAGAGAACAGTCTTATATATAACTACACTTTATTCATGGTCACTAGCATACTTTATATTTGCCAAATAATCATATCAACATGCATTTTATTGATGAATATATTGGAAGGAATAGAAGAGAAAAAGAGGGAGGTACAAACAAGTTTCAAGGTAAAAAATATATTACCTTATCAAACATGTGATTAAAAAATTTGACACCTATTAATATTTTGACTGCATGGTTTGAGAGAAAATTATTTTATCTTTGTGCAAATTATACATTTACATAAGAAACTATACTAATTAATTCTACTGGAGTTCACTTTTGAAACTTTTCTCAATTAATTTTGGGTAGAAAAAAATAAATTGATTGATCGGAGGAAGATTCCCAATTCAACGATTTTCAATTTTCTCTTTTTAATATGATTGAAAAAGGAACTAATTGATGTAGTTCATATTTCAAAACAACTTTCGTTTAACCATCACGATTTTTAAGATTCGTTCTATCATTTTATGAAAAGAACTTGATCATGATCACAGGATAAAATGCCATTAGATTATTTAATCTCCAAAGTTTTGTCACATTTCGAACAAAAATATAACAGCATTTGGGAAAACTCTTGAGCTACTTTTGTTATGATCTATGAATTTATAAATCTTGAAAGGATCTTCATCTGAACTTAGCAAAAAGCATGAGGTAAATAATTCATTCATTGATGTAGGTTGCTAACAGTATTCTGTAAATTTAATTTTGAATATTACTGTTTTCAACATAAACCTGAAAATTTCGTAAATAATTAGTTATATTTTATTGAGAGTATAATTTAAGGATAATAAAATAGATGAAATGACCAATAAATTATTAAAACGGTCAGTTATTAATTGATTAGATCGATAAATAAAAACAAATTCTATAAGAAGAATCGTTGTTTCAAAATTCTCATATTGCTCTTTATTTGAAAAATAAAAGGAAAGAAGTTTCTCGATTTATTTTGTAGTCATCATCTTTGTCTTTGATTATATATACCTATTGTTACAAGGCCCTTTTCTTCTGATAGATGAGTCAATAGATTATCTATTTAATAATCTTATTTCTTAACTCCCTTTATTAGAAAAAGAAGAAGGTATTTATACCTTCGTTGATGTCTAGGCACACACACAAACACACGCGGAAGACATATGGAAAAAAGGAGAGAACAAAGGGAGAAGAAGAGTGATCATGCATATCCCTCTTACTTCATACCCAAAGCGGACGAGAAGATGATGTAATCATCTTCTTGTAAGAAGTAAAAAGAAAAGAAAGAAAGAAAAGAAAACAAACGAAAGAAGATGAAGTAATTTATCTTCTTGTGAAAGTAAAGTGAAACATAGAGAGAAGATGAGAAATTCATCTTCTCATTCAACAAGAAGGAAAGCCTGGACGAACCAGTTGGTCGTCATGTGAAGAGAGGAGAGAGAGAGAAGAAAACAAATGATATACACACGCACGCACATACACCGAAAAGAAGAAGAACCAAATATATATATATATAGTAATAAGTATTACTATTGTTAGAGTGCTCTCTAACACCTATCTGACATATTTCAAATGAAAATAACACATTTTCCATTTACAAAATTTGACGTATCTTTACTATGAAGACAATGATATGATATATACGTACGTACAATTAAATTGAAGCCGAGGGAAGTGCTCAAAACAAGAAAACGTAGGCGTAGGATTTCACAGACAAGAAGTCATAAGATCATCGGCACAGTATTAATCACTTAAACGATTGCCTTTTTATGAATTTTATGGTAACACGACTTTCTTAGATAGTTTATGAGAATTGTATACTTCGATATAACTGATTGAAGAGGAGAAAGTCATACTAATCCAACGATTTTTATTTGATTGTTAATATTTCATGCGGATCTCTCTAATATTTTTTTATATACTTTATGAGCGAGTTTAGTGAAGCTTCTGTTGATTATTTCATTGGTATTGAATTAGGTAGGTGTATGAGCTCATTTTGATCGTAGAGATAGCTATCTACTTATACTCTAAATTTAATTTTACTAATAGTGAATGAAAGAGAACTCGGTTCTTGCTTAAAAGTAAAACCTTGTCCACAATACAGTTGTTCAATTTTAGTACTCATTACTACATTGAATATAGCAATGTATTCTAGGAGAATACTATGATAGTCATAATAATTATGTAGATATTGAAAACACATGCATGCACTGATTTATCTAGAGAGAGGGCAGTAATGGTGGCGCCCTTTCGGAAACCGACTTTGTCCTCCCGAAAACTGGAACTTTTGTGCTTATAGTATGTATTTTCCTTCCAGAAATTAGGTTGTCGCCCTCCTGGAAATCGGTATCGCGCTCTCGAAGGGAAAACCTAGATAAAACACTGCATGCATGTTAAATGCAAAGGTTAAACTTATATCTCGTTCCTTTAATTTTATACCATTTTCCTGAAGAATCCTCAAAATGAACTTCCCATAACTATGATTCCAATTCAATGACATTATATACTTATACTCAAAACTCGTACATTACAAATTCGTTTCAAATGTCAAATATTATCTTATCTCTCTCTCTCTCTCTCTCTTTCCATGATATTACTTTCTCCATTCGATCATATCTAACATAATAAGTAGTTTTTTTGTCATGTGATGGAACTCGACAGGATTTTACATGAAATGTATATTGTTATATTAATCGCTATTTAATATATAATAAAATGTTAGGTATGTTTGATTCTGTAGCAAATAATAGTCACAAGACATATCATCATCGATGAATTGTTTCTAAGCAAAAGCAAAATCGTATGATCCTATAATGTCTTAGTATTCCAAATTTCTATTTCTAACTGCATAGTTTCTTGTCTATATTGTAGAAAATATGCAACAACTAGATATTATAAATCTCACAAATGAAGTTCGATTCATCTTTTGTTTTGCTACATATTTTCTTGCTAAACATATATCTCAGATCATTAAACTAAGATGTATTCAATGCAATCAAAAATATTTAATCATGTACCTACAATATATTTCCAGTTTTCGAATTAATTTAATTTATGTTATAATATATAATAAAATAAATATGAACTTTCTTAATACTTGAGTGTAATAATTTGTATCATACGTTATTCAACTGAAAGAAAAAACAGTTGTGTATTTGTTTCAATTTTTACATTTCTATGACAAACAAAAGAAGAAAAAAATCTACAGAAGATAAGTATTTATACTAGTTTTATTCATAACTGTAATCATTACATAATTAAATCTTTATTTTTTCTATCACAGAGATTTACATAAATATATTTTATAAATAACTTCTTTTAGTTCAAAAATAAAATTCTGATTTAATCCTATTTTCTTCTTGAAAACGTGATATAGTATTGAAAAAAGTAAAAATAATCTACCATTCTTTGAAATCGAATTTGGTTTGTCTATTTAAGGCTATCGAAGCCTTCAACAATAGAGCGAACAAGCCATTTTTCCTAGTATTTTTTATTCTTGAGTATCTATACATAATTTCATAAGAGAGAAATATGTTATCATTGCATGTATCATATTTGATAAGAATAAAAAAAACTGGGTACACGTAAATAATCAAAAGTTGAAGCAGAACGAAAAAAATAAATAACTCATAAAACATCAGTCGCTTATTAATATAAATATTCGAAAGCAAAAAATTGCTTGCTGTTTCTTCACGATACAATCTTTTTAAAAAACGTGAGTAAAAAAATAAGAAGAATACATGTCCTTAGTATCGAAACAAATGTCATCATCATTAACATTTAATATTCGCTTATTACATGAAAATGATCATGATCAAGTTTTATCATTATTATTAAATTCATTTTTTAAAGATGAACCAATTACAAAATGTCTTCAAATAACTGAAACATTAGAATTTGCTAAAAATATTATTACTGGCTGTTTACAAGATCAATGTTCATTTGTTGCTTTCAATACAGAGACAAATCAAATAGTTGGAATTTGTCTCAATGAAATTAAACATAAAAATCAACGAAATGAAACAATTCAATCTGATGAAAAACTTGGTTTTCTGTTTCAACTTTTTGCTGATGTACATAAAAATTTAAATATTTTTGATAAATTAAATGCTGATACTCTACTTCATGTATTTATTATAAGTGTCGATAAACGTGCACGTGGTCATGGGCTTGCATCAAGTCTTATAGAAAAAAGTATTGAATATGCTAAAGAGTTAGAAATTGTTGGTGCATTTGCAGAAGCAACAAATCTTATCTCATTAAAATGTTTTAAACAACAACAATTCAATATACTTGATGAACTTATATATATGAATTATGATTCAAAACGCTTAACAAATCTTAATGATGAAAATCATGATCGATGTTATCTTGTTGCTCGAAAATTTTAATTAATAAAACTTTGAATATTGTCAATAAAAATAAATAAATAAGACTATCATGTAGATTATATATTATTTTAATTAACAAATTACTCTTTCTTGTGTATAATCGATAGAAGTAGTATTATAATACATGGTTAATAATCAAAACAATAGTTTCTAAAAATAAATTGTTTTTCATTTGCGTGACAATTTTGTTTTCTAATGTCAGAACTCAGCAGTTACTTTTGAGTTATAGATTTGAAATGCAATGAAACGTTTACTAATAATTATTAATATGGAATATATCGTAAGCTAATTTTATTTTCTACATGACATTAAAACTTATATATAAGAACAGAAAACTTTTTGCTCTATCAGTACTTAAAAAATGATCTTAAACTA